CTTTCCCAGGCGGGGGCGGTGGTGCTGTTGCCCTGTTGCCCTTTTAAGCTGCGGCTTGACAGGAGTCACTCCTCCTGTCGGTGGAGTTGGTTACAAAGGGAGCAGCCCCCCAGGCCGCCACACAGCTCCTGCCAAGGCCTTCGTGCCCCTGCCATTTTCCAGTGATGCTCCCAGGAGGGTCCGGGCGGCGGGGAGCGGCGGAGCCAGGAGAGCTGAGCCAGGAGAGCTGAGCCAGGCGGCCCCGCCGGGTGGTCGTGGCCATGACAGCGGCTCCAGACGGCTTCCCTTCCGCGTCCCTCCTAAAGGCCAAACTGAAGTTGCTGGCGTCTATCTTCCACAAGAACCAGGAGCCTCAGTGGAGGCTCATGCTCCACTGCAACAGGACGGTGAGGCGCCCGGCGGCGGCCTCGCGGGGCAAGGCCAGGGCGGAGAGAGAGGGGCGCCCGGAGTCCCGGGACAAAGGGGAACCTGCCCGGGAGAGGCCCCGGTTGCCCCGCCCCTTTCTCCCGCAACTGGCCCAGCCCGGCCCCCGACTGCGCGAGGCACGGGTGGTGGGAGGAGACGGAGGGCGCGTCCTCGGGCTCCTCGCACTGGGCTGGCTTGGGGGCTACTGGCCCCTTTCGGTCCCCGTCCCGCTCCCGGAGGCGGGAGCCCGCGGCGGCCGGAGCCTTCTCGGGACCCATGGTCGCCCACAGTCAACCGGCCTGCTCCCGGGACCGCGACAAGGTAGGGCGGCTCCGGCCTTGTTGTGAGTCCAGGCGGGGAAGGGGAAAGGCCTTTAAGATTTTCGGGGTTTTGGCCGGGCGCAGTGGCCGACGGCTGTAATCCCAGCACTTTGGGAGGCCGAGGCGGGCGGATCACTTGTGGTCAGGAGTTCGAAACCAGCCTGGCCAACATGGTGAAACCCCATTTCTACTAAAATATACAAAAATTAGCCGGGCGTGCTGGCAGGCGACTTAATCCCAGCTACTTGGGAGGCGGAGGCAGGAGAATCATTTGAACCCGGAAGGCAGAGGTTGCAGTGAGCCGACATCAAGCCATTGTACTCAAACCTGGAGGATAAGAAGGAGACTTTAAAAAAAAAAAAAAACCGCTCCTGCCACCACGCCTGCCTAACTTTTATGTCTTTAGTAAAGACGGGGTTTCACCATGTTGGCCAGGCTGGTCTCAAACTCCTGACCTCAAATGACCCACATTTGCCTCCCAAAGTGCTGGGATTCCTTCAATTCAATCAAGTTGACACTCAGTATTAACCATCACAAGTGTCTTCAGAATTGTCACTCTTTTCTGCTGTGGCCTCCCTCTCCTGGTTTGCAGACTCATGTTCATCCTGTGGCACCAGGGTGGGGAGGTGCTGGCAGGAGAGCTTTCTAGCTCCTGAGTTAAAAGGCAGCGATGGAGTCTAAGATTTGCTGCTGTGTTGAGTTATATTAAAAACATTGTCTTTTTTCTCTGGTTTTCACACTCATAGTAAGAGACCATCAAGATAGGCTTCCTATATGGGAGGGTGATCCTTACCAACTGTAGTTGGGACAAGTACAGTAAAGAATGTTTGATTCTTCTGGGAAAAAAGTGGTCCCTCCATTATTTGGATTGAGTTTGTGGCTTTGTCAGGCCCAGCAGTCTGATTCCGTCTGCTTTGTGTCTTCCAGCATGTCCCTGTGGTTTTGGTTCACTCAGGGTATTCTCCTTGTACGTGTTATTTTTCTGCTGCTGCGGCAGACTTACTCTTTTTAAAAAAAATACTGTCATTTTGGTGGGAAGACCAGGCCATATTTTGGAAAGAGGACCAGGCCACATCTTGAAATGAAATTCATCTTAGGATTTCACAACCCTAACTCACTTTTTGTTTTGATTAAATTACTTACCCTTTTTGAGGGGTGGGGGCTGAGCTTTGTCGTTTGTAAAATGAAAGATAGTAACTGGGCTGTTGGTTACAGACATGGATGCATGTCAGAATCACCTCACAGAGCTTTTTAAAAACAGATTTCCCCCAGCACTTCGGGAGGCTGAGGTGGGCAGATCGTGAGGTCAAGAGATGGAGACCATCCTGGCCAACATGGTGAAACTCTGTCTCTACTAAAAATACAAAAATTAGCTGGGCGTGGTGGCGCACGCCTGTAGTCCCAGCTACTCGGGAGGCTGAGGCAGGAGAATCACTTGAACTCAGAAGGCAGAGGTTGCAGTGAGCCAAGATTGTGCCACTGCACTCCAACCTGGCAACAGAGCAAGACTCCGTCTCAAGAAAACAAAAACATAAACAAAAACAGAATCTCTGGGTAGGCTTTGAAATGAGCATTTCAAAAATGCTCTTTCAATCACTGATGCAACCAAAGTCTTTGGGACTTTTAGGCTAAGTATATATTCTTTAGATACCCAGAATAGTTTGATTTGGAATATAACAATTTAGGGAGATGAAGAAGTGGTGAATTATGTTTTGGAAGCTGCTGCTTGCTTCCTTTTTGCATTTAGATTTTAGAAGACAAAGAATGTCTAAAGAGATGCAGATTTAAAGGAAATACAAGTTAATTCTGCATGGGTATGTTTATCTACATGGCATTCTCCAGCTCACTAATCCAGAAGAGTTCTAACACCCTCTGTGATCATGGGTTGTTTTTCTTAAGAATTCCTCCATCAGAGTATCCCAGAACAGATGCTTAGAAAGTGCTGAGACCTTTGCTGGTCTTACTGGATCTCTGGATCCTAGTTTCTTGATCTTCTACATATTCTGAGTTCTAACCTGTACTGGCCTTTGTGGTTAAAGATGCATTTATATACTGTGCCATGGCCAGTATCTTATGAGCTTATCTTTTGAACTCGGCCCAAACTGGGTATGAAGGCCCTTCCTAAAACCCCATTAAATTCATTTCTAAACTTGATCATTGTAAATTGTGTCAGCTGGTAAATTCTGTCTTGTAGAGAGGTATTATGTAGTAAATAACATGTTTTTAAAACTGAAATTTGCTTTTTACTAAGGTAGTAATCATTTCATAATTCTTAGTTTTGTGAAGGGTCTATAAATAAGACATCTGATCTTTTAAAATGAAAGGGAATTGAATTTATGTAATGATTCAGGCTTTTCAAAGTTAAAAAGGTAGTTATTTTAAGGCATAGATAGTTTGTGGTATTTATTTTAAATAAGATAAGCAATTGATCTTATACACATAGCCATGTAAGTAAAATGTTTTCTTATTTTAAATTAGATTCTGTTTTAACATTTTTTTTTTGGTTTTGCTTTATATTTGACTGATTGCTTTTCTTTATTCCTAATTCTTTTATTTTTTTGTTTTGTTTTTAAAAGCTGATAACTGTTTGTCAAATCATAGTTGGATTTAAAAATAAACATTTAATGTTAATAAGCTCTCTGGTAGTGGCACTACAGTGACAGATGGTTGAGAGTTTGTCCCTAAAGCTATGGCACCAGTCTTCTAATGGACTTAGACTGTATTCAGTCTGTGTAACCCTGGCAGATTCTTTCTCTTATTTCAGAATGAGACAACAGAGGAAGTGACTTCAGAGCAAGAGGAAGAAGAGGACACAGCTGAAGTAGGTATTTTATATAAGAATGACATTTCATAAATGTCCTCATTTTTGATTTGAGGAATTCTCTAAATCTCCTTTGTAAACTACTATTAATGTGGAACAATTGAAAGCACATTGTATTTGGAATGGAGTATAATTTCTCAACTCTCTTTTACCTCTACCTGATGATACACTTTTGAGCAAATTGCTTTATCTAAATTCTTTGGGTTTGATTTTCTGGAAAACAAAAGCTCTTAACTTTTAGCACCAAGGCTTTATTTATATTTAATACTAATCAGTCCTTCGCCTGCATTTGGTTATTTTTTAGGAAGAGGAACGACTAAGTTTAAAAAATGTTATGTTTGCATAAAAGGAGAATTTGAGAACATGTTAGGAACTACGCACCAGAGGTAGTAACACTGTCTCTTATTGAAAAATCATCAAGGAATTTCCTGTTAGTCTGTTTTATGCTGTTATAACAGAATACCAGAGACTGGGTGATTTATAAAGAACAGACATTGATTTTCTGACAGTTCTGGAGACTGGGAAGTTCAAGATGGAAATACCAACATTTGGTGTCTGAGGACCTTCTTCTTGCATCCTCACATGGTAGAGCAAGGTAGGGCAGGAGAGCAAGCTAGTCCCATGTGTGAAGCCTCATTCATCAGGGCCTTAATCCCATTAAGGAGGAAGGCGCCCTCTTGGCCTGATTACCTCTTAAAGGTCCTACCTTTTAATATCATCACATTAGAAACACCTGAATTTTGAAGGGAACACATTCAAACGGTAGCAAATTTAGTAGAGCAAATTCCAAAGAGATTGAGCCTAGGCCAGTTGTCAGTCATGGGTGTAATTTTACATGTTTTCAGGCTCTGAAGCTTTGCATTTACATTCAGATTTTGCAACAAAGATCTGTGTCTCTGGATTGACCAAATAGAAGGTATGCGAATGTTATGGTCTTGATTGTTTTAAAAGATATTTTCTGTTTGGAGTCTTATAATTAATTTAGGCTTTCATTTTCTTGGTTTGGAAATTATTAATCTAAAATATACTTTAGAGTGCTTCAGAACTAAAGATGTAGTGTTGTAGGCTTGTTGTTGTTTGTTTGTTTGAGACAGGGTCTCGCTGTCACCCAGCCTGGAGTGCAGTAGCGTGGTCACGGCTCACTGCAACCTTGAACTCCTGGGTTTGAGCAGTCCTCATGAGTAGCTGGGACTACAGGTGGGTGCCACACGTTCAGCTAATTTTTTAAATTTTCCGTAGAGTTTGAGTCTCGCTCTGTTGCCCAGGTTGGTCTTGAACTCCTGGCCTCAAGTTATCCACTACCTTGGCCTCCCAAAGTGCTGGGATTACATGCGTGTGCCACTGTGCCTGGCTGTAAAGCTTGTTTTATGAGTCTGGGAGTAAAAATACTTCTTAAAATTGTCCAATTAGAATGAGAGTTTCGGCCGGGTGTGGTGGCTCTCGCCTGTAATCCCAGCACTTTGGGAGGCCGAGGCAGATGGATCACGAGGTCAGGGGATCAAGACCATCCTGGCTAACAAGGTGAAACCCTGTGTCTACTAAAAACACAAAAAATTAGTTGGGTGTGGCAGCGGACACCTGTAGTTCCAGCTACTCAGGAGGCTGAGGCAGGAGAATAGTGTGAACCCAGGAGGTGGAACTTGCAGTGAGCTGAGATCGCGCCACTGCACTCCAGTCTGGGTGACAGAGCAAGATTCCGTCTCAAAAAAAGGAAAAAGAATGAGAGTTTAATGTTTTTATGCAGTTTAGCTGAGGTGGAATAAACTGCATGAAAACATTAAACGTTTTCCGTGGGTCAGGCGGCCATTGTACTAAAGATCATGAACCTTTCATTTTCCCCTCACAGGATAATGAACAAGGGACCACAGCTTTGAGGGAAATCTAGAAAGGTAAGAGACTGGACTTTGGAGATGTCAGATTAGGACAGGTGAAAAGCAGATATTCTAGGCTCCTGAAAGAACATGGGAACAGGCCCAAAACAACCCTGGACATGGTGTGTTTGGGTGCATTGGATGCTTTTCTTTTGAGAAGGAAGGTTGATGTTTTGAAGTCATGGAAAGTGTTCAAAATATTGTGAGAATTACCAAAATATGACACAGAAACATGAGTCGAGCACATGCTGTTGGAAAAAAATGGTGCTGATCTTCTTGCTTAATGTAGAGGTGCCAAAAACCTTCGATTGTAAAACAAAACAAACAAAAAACAACAACAAAAAAGAAAAACTGCAATATCTACAGAGTGCAATAAAGTGAAGCGCAATAAAGTGAAGTATGCCTGTATGAAAGATTATGACATCAGCGAACAAACAATTATATGCCTTCCTTTCCAATGTGTGTGCCATTTATTGGTCCTTGTTGCCTAATCACTTTGGCTAGGACTTCTATCTAGTACTATGTTGGAAAAAAAAGGGGCTAGTATGAGCATCCTTGCCTTGTTCTTCGTATTAGGAGGAAGGCTTTTTACCATTAAATATGTTGGTGTGGGGTTGTCATAAATGGCCATTGTTAAGTTGAAATGTGTATTTATTTGTTTGTTTGTTTGTGTGTTTTAACTAGAGATAGGGTCTCACTATGTTGCCCAGGCTGGTCTTGAACTCCTGAGCTCCAGCGATCTTCCCACCTCAGCCTCTCAAAGTGCTGGGATTGCAGGCGTGAGCCACTGCGCCCGAGTGAGAAAAAGTCTCCTATACCTAAATTTTTGAGAGTTTTTTCATCATGGAAAGGATGTTAAATTTTGTCAAATGTTTTTTGTGCATCTATTGAGATGATGATATGGTGTTTATCTTTTATGCTGTTAATGTGATGTATCACAATTATTGATTTTTGTATGTTGAATCATTCTTGCATCCCAGGAGTAAATCTCTTTAATCATGGTAGTTATGATATAGATTTGGTTTTTGGCCCCACTAAATTTTATGTTCAATTTTGATCCCCAATTTGGTAGTATTGGGAAGTAGGGCCTCATGGCAGGTGTTTGGGGTCTCATGAATGGCTTGGTGCCATCTTGGAATACTGAGTTCTCATCTTGCAAGACTGGATTGGTTTTGGGGGTAACAAATTAGTTCCCCTTTGAGTAGGTGTTACAAAGCCAGGATACCCCTTGGGTTTGTTCTCGTTTCACATATGCCCGCCTCCCCTTTTACATTCTTCACCATGTTTTGACACAGCACAAAAGCCCTCAGGAGAAACAGATGCTGGCATCGTGCTTGTATAGCCTGCAGAACTGTGGCCATTTCAATGCGGTATTGAATTTGGTTTTCTAGTCTTTTATGGAAGATATTTGGATCTATTTTCATCAGAGTTGGTGGTCTGTGATTTTCTCTTTTTTGTAGTGTTCTGGATTTGGCTTTGATATCAGGGTAATGCTGGCATAGTAAAATGAGTTCGGAAGTGGTCCATCCTCTTCAGTTTTTTTGGAAGCAATTGGGATATACTTACATTAATTCTTCTTTAAATGCTTGATAGAATTCAGTAATGAAGCCATATGATTCTTGTGCCTCAGCCTCCTGAGTAGCTGGGATTCCAGGTGCCTGCCACCATGCCTGGCTAATTTTTGTATTTTTAGTAAAGTTGGGGTTTCACCATGTTGCCAGCGGGTGGTCTTGAGGCATCCTGCCTCGTTGATCCCGCTGCTGTCAGCCTCCCAAAGCTGGACTGGATTAGCAGCCAGGGGCCTGGTTCTGTTGGCGCATGACTTCTGTTGGGGGGAAATGGAGGATTTTTAACGCCAATCGATATCATTGCATCATCTGGCTGATGTTTAGTTTTCCATTTGTTCGATGCCTGTCGCGAGCTTGGTGAGTTAGTTCCTAGAATTTACCCATTTGGTAGGTCTTATCTTGTGTTTATGGCATATATGGTTATGTCATGTAGTCCCTCTATGGTCCTTTTTCTTTCTGTGGCTGTTTAGTTGTAGTCTCCACTTTTATTTGATTTGGTGTTTTGGGTACCTGTCACATTTAGTCTTGTCCAGCAAAAGGTGGATTTGGTATGTCTTTTAAGAAAACTCAGCTTTACTTTTTGTTTGTTTTCTTGGTGTCTATTCGTTCGACGCTCTAATCTTTTTTTTGTTTTTTTTTTTTGAGACGCGAGGTCTTGCTCTGTCACCAGGCTGGAGTGTGCAGTGGTCCGGTCTGTCAGTCACTGCAAAGCGCCGCCTTCCCGGGTTCCCGCCATTCTGCCTGCTTCAGGGCTTCCCGAGTGCGGAGCTGGGACTACATGCAGACAGCCCGCCACTTCCCCGCGTTAGGTTTTTTGGTATTTTTTAGTAGAGACGGGGGTTCACGTGTTAGGCCAGGATGGTCTCGATCTCCTTAGCGGATGATCCTGCCTACGCTCTCGCCTGCCCCAAAGTGCTGGGATTACAGGCTTGCGCCACCGCGCACCGCCTTCAGGCTCTAATCTTTGAAGTTTCGCTTCTTTCTTTGTACATTTAGACTTGTTTGTTCTTCTTTTTCTAGTGTTTGCGGTTAGATTACTTCTATTTGTCTTGTTCATTTTTTCGTTCATAGGATTTTTATCGCACATTAAGTTCTTCTCTTGAGGAATTGTTTGCTGTGCCATAAGTTTGTTTGTTCTTGTATTTTATTTATTAGTTTTATTTTCGTTTTTGTGGGATGGAGTCTCGCTCGTGGTTCTCGACAGTCTGGGAGTGCAATGGCATGATCTCTGCTCACTGCAACTTTCGCCTCCTGGGTTCAAGTGATTCTCCTGTCTCAGCCTCCCAGGTAGATGGGATTACAGGCACATGCCACCACACCCAGCTAATTTTTGTATTTTTAGTAGACACAGGGTTTCACCATGTTGGCCAGGCTGATCCCAAACTCTTGACCTCAGGTAATCTGCCTGCCTTTGCCTCCCAAAGTGCTGGGATTAAAGGCGTGAGTCACTACACCCGGCCTAGCCCATAAGTTTTTGAATGCTCTGTTTCCATTTTGATTTGTATCAAGATCTTTTAAAAATTCCCTTGTGGAAAATTTACCACTTACCCTTTGGTTGCTCAGAAGAATGTTGTTTAATTTGCCTATATTTGTGAGTTTTCCAGTTTTTCTTTTTATTGATTTCTAGTTTCATACCATTGTAATCAGAAGATATTCTCGATGCAGTTTCAGTCGTCTTAAATTTGTTAAAACTTGTTTTGTGACGTAATATTGAAAGTAAACTCAAAATAATTTTATATGTACAAGAAAAAATATGTCTTCTGTTGCTTTTTCACAGAATGCATTGTGTATGTCTGTTAGGCCCTTTTTTGTCTGAAATGCAGTTCAATTACAATATTTTCTTATTGACTTTCTATCTGAACAATTTGTTCATTGTTGAAAGTGAGGTATTAGAAGTTTTCTACTATTATTGTATCCAGTCTATCTCTTCCTTCAGATTAATTAATATTTGCTTTATATAATTTAAGTGCTGTAATGTTGGGTGCATATATATTTGAAATTGTTATATCCCCTGATGAATTGAACCTGTTTATCATTATATGATGATTTTCTTTGTATCTTACGAGAGTTTTTGACTTAACTTTTATTTTGTGTAAATTTAGCTATTCCTACTCTCTTTTGGTTTCCATTTGCATAGAATATAACTTTTCCTTACTTACGTTGACTCTAAGTGTGCTCTTAAAGCTTAAGTGAATCCTTTGTAGGTACCATATAGTACGTGTGTGTGTGCGTGTGTGTGTGTGTGTTCAATCCATTGAGCAGTCTATCTTTAGAGTATTTAAGCAATTTATATTTAAAGTAATTATTGAGTAAGGAATCACTACTGTCATTTTGTTAATTGGTTTCTAGATGCTTTGTAGATTCTTTGTTCCTTTCATCCTCTCCTGCTATCTTCCTTTGTGAACTGATGATTTTTTTGTAGTGAGTGGTATGTTTTGATTCCTTTCTCTTTTTCTTCTATATATTTACTAGAGGTTTTTGGTTTATGGTTACCGTGAGGCTTACAGAAAACACCTTTTAGTTATAAAAGTCTATTTTAAGCTTATAACAAATTTACTTTGATCACATACAAAATCTCTATACTTTTACATGCCTTATTTTTTGTTTATGATATCAAAATTTATATCTTTTTAATATTATGCATCTACCAATAGACTGTTGTATTTACAGTTTTGTTAATACTTTTGTTTTTAAACTTTGAGTGATTTGCACACCATTACAATATTAGAGTATTCTGAGTTTATTAGAGTATTATTAGAGTATTCTGATAAACTTACATTTGTCAGTTTTATACTTTCATATGTTTTCATGTTATTAATTAGCTTTCTTTCATTTTATCTTGAAGAACTCTCTACCTTTTTTCATAAAGCAGGTCTAAAGTGGTAAACTCCTCAGCTTTTGTTTGTTTAGAAGGCTTTAGCTCTCCAGTTTTGAAGAACAACTTTGTTAGGTAAAATATTCTTGGTTGCCAATACCTTTCTTTCTTTCACCAGTTTGAATGTATCTATATCATTCTACTATCTTCTGGCCTGTAAGACTTCTGCTGAGAAATCTGCTAATAGTGTTATCAGAGTTTGCTTATATGTGCCAAGCCTCTTTTCTTGTTGCTTTCAAATTTCTATGTCTTTGATTTTTGACAATTCATTATGCAGGTCAAGGGTCCCTTATCTGAAATGCATAGATTCAGAAGTGTTTCAGATTTCAGATTGTTTTTAGATTTTGAAATATTTGAATTATACTTACCAGTTGAGCATCCCTAAGTTGAAAATCTGATATCTGAAATGTTCCAATGAGCACTTCTTTTAAGCATCATTTTAGTTCTTAAAATGTTTCAGATTTTGAAGCATTTCAGATTTCAGGTTTTTAGATTAGGGATGCTCAACCTGTAATGTGACTTGTGAGGCCTTCTTTGGATTGAACCTTATTACAGATTGCAAGCTTTGTATACCTGAATGTCCAGATTTCTTCCCAGACTTTGGAAGTTTTCAGCCATAATTTCTTTGAATGAGCTTTCTCCCCTTTCTGTCTTCGTTCTTCTTCTAGAACATCCATAATGCAAATGTTAGCTGTCTTGATGGTGTTCCACTAATCTCATCAGTTTTCTTCCTTCCTTTTTATTCTTTTTTTTTTTAAATTTTTCCTTTTCTAACTGGATATTTTCAAATGACTTTTCTTCAAGTTCACAGATTCTTTCTTCTGTTTGATCAAGTCTGTTGGTGTTTTTATTGCATTTTTTGAATTCCATTCACTGTGTTCTTCAGCTGTAGGATTTCTGTTCAGTTTCCTTTTCATGATTTCTATCTATTCATTGGAATTATTTTGTTGATTTCTATTTTCTGTTTCATTTAGTTGTCTACCTATGTTTTCTTGTAGCTCACTGAGCTTTGTTAAAATAGTTATTTTGAATTCTTTGTCAGGCAATTTGTAGATCTCAATTTTTTTGGGATTGGTTTCCAGAATATTATTGTGTTCCTTTGGTGGTGTCAAGTTTTCTTGATTTTTCATGTTTCTTGAAGTCTTCTGCTGCTGTCTTTCCATCTGAAGGAGGAGTAACCTCCTTCAGTTTTACTTACTATAAATACCTTCACCAACCAGATTGGTTAGTGATTATGAGGCTCTCTCAGACTTTTTCTGTGAATTCACCCACTCCGCACCTCTTACCCATTTTGGGGGAGGGAAATGCTTAAGATTATATACTTTCTCTCAATCTTGCAAAGCTAGGCCAGTGCTGAGAGCTTCCTGTTTTGATTTTCTAGAGTGCTACACTGAAATGCTCAAATTTGTGTGTCTTCCTCCAACCCTGCATAGATGATACAGATAGCTGCATGAAATGCTTGCATTTGCTGTTCACACAGGTGCATTTAGGGAACCAATCTTGGGAGCGAGTTGTGCCAAACATTTTGAGGGCCTATGCACTAGTTCAGGGGGTCCAAACACAATGTGTTCCAAGTGCCTTATAGATGCACTTCCTGATGCAGTCAGACAGCAGTAAATTAGATCCCCACCTGTCTTCCCTGTCACTGTTCTCTTCCAACCACTAAACCATACCAATCACCATTGTAGTTTGGATAAGATGAGAAAGTGAGCATCTTGTTCAGTATCCTACAAAGCTGGGGGAGCTGAGCACTCATTAACCATGCTTGCATTCTCCCTACCCCCCAGGAGAAATCATGGACTGCACTTATCTCTCTTGGCATTGAGCTACGCTGCCTTGGAAGAAAGGTAATGCAGGCGAAGTGAAACTGTTTTTCTTATCCTTTTCAGTGTATCTATTCGCAGAGTTTTTGCTCTGATGGTGTGCTAAAACTTTATCCGTTGGATTCTTGGACCCCACAAAAGTGCTCTTGTAGATAGTTGTCAGGTTTAATACTTCTGCTAGGGGATAATGGTAGAATGCTCTTTTTCCACCACTGTGTTGACATCACTCTGCCTTCTCTCTTAATTCTGCCTTTTCTGCACATTAGCCTCATTTTCCTCCTTGGAGCTGGTGAAGGAATTGAAGATGTCAGAGGCATCAGTCTTATTTTATGTAAGGATGCTCCTAAACCACTAATGATAGGACCTAAAATCTATTGTTGAAGATTCTGAGATATACTGTCAGTCTTTTAGCTGATGACCTCATTCGGGGCCATCATAGCTTACAGGCCAAAATGTCTACTAAAAACATTAGGAAGTGTTCATCGCATAGACCTCTTCTGGAGCTGTGCAGTGTGTGACCAGCACAGCCATATGCATTAGCCATGATATCTCCTACTTCATCAAGATACAGCAGTAATGATATTCAATGTCTCTTATCTTTTCTATAGTACCCTTGAATACCTGCCATCCTACATATATTTTATGAAATGGGAGAGTGAAAGAATGTATTTTCAAATTAATGCATTTTATGTGATATATGGTTTTTACATACACTTGTTTATGGAAAATTAATGAATTCAGTAGTAGGTTTTGACATTTTATTATTTTATCTGGTAGGAAAAAGTCCTTCTTTCTTAAATAAGGACTTAATTAGTCCTTATTTCTTAAGGCCTGGATTTGCAAGATTGTTTTCAAAATTGCTTTATGCATATGTTTATGTTTTCAATTCCATATGAATTTTAAAACCACCTTTCAGTTTTGTGCTTGTATTAAAGTTTGGGTAAACTTCAAGATAGCTGACTTTTAACAGTTAAAACTTTCCAACTAAAAATGTGGCTTTTCTCTCCAATGACAAGCTTTGTATAATTTCTTGTAGCTTCCCTTCTTGTTTTCTCTTTGAAAGATTTTTAGAATATTTTTGTTATGATATTATCTTTAGATGAAGGTCAATTCATATCTTCTTGTTTTATATTTTTAGCTTGGTGGGCCTTTTCTTGAAGACTCTTGTCTTTCTTTAACATTGAAATACATTTATCCATTGTTTTAGGCAATTTGTACCTCTCCATTTTCTTTGTTTTCTCTTTTGGGAACTCCTTTTAGTCTAGCTTTGGGCTTCCTGCTTTGATCTTCATTAATCCTTTAGTCCTGTTCTAGTGTTTTTAGTGTCTGAAGTACTTTTTAAGGTTATCCATCTGGCTATGCTAGAGAATGCTGGTCTGGGTATATGTTTTACATGGGCATATGACAGAATCAGCATTACCTCAAATGGTCAAGCTGCCTTTCCTGTGATGAGGACACAGAGTTTTTACCTGGAAAAAGTATGTAGACGAAGGAGCAAGGGGAGCCTGTGCTGGGCACTTTCTGTTTGCCTCTCCAGACTTACAGTTGACCTTTCACAATTCACATCTCCCCTTTGGGAGGCTGACTACATCTGTGGGCTCCTTCATCTTTTTAATTTATTTTATGTATTTATTTATTATTAATTAATTTATTTATTTATTTTGAGACGGAGTCTCGCTCTATCACCCAGGCTGGAGTGCAGTGGCACGATCTCGGCTCACTGCAAGCTCCGCCTCCTGAGTTCACACCATTCTCCTGCCTCAGCCTCCTGAGTAGCTGAGACTACAGGCGTCCACCTCTACACCTGGCTAATTTTTTGTGTTTTTAGTAGAGACTGGGTTTCACCGTCTTAGCCAGGATGGTCTGGATCTTCTGACCTCGTGATCCACTTGCCTTGGCCTCCCAAAGTGCTGGGATTACAGGCATGAGCCACTGCACCCAGCAAGGGCTCCTTCATCTTTGGGCTTTCCGTGACACCCTGGAAGAAGATAAGAGGAGTGTGGTGCTGTAACATTGGTTCCTCCCACTCTCTCTCCACATGGACAGCCCAACTGCCTCCTCTCAGGCCTCCCTCTCTGCCAGACCTCTGGCGCTGGCTTTCGGCAGTTGCTCCTTCCCTTACACTTTTAGACCCAGAGGTTGTAACTGTAACCCCAAGGTCACCCCTCATCCATCTGTATGTATCCACCCATACAGATGGATACTGTATTATACATCCCTGTGATTTTCCCACCCTGGCCCACATTTGGTAAAAGTCTTTTTATTATTCTCAAATTATTTTAATTTACATGTTCCATCTATTTCCTCCTGCTACTCTGCAAAATATAAACGCCTGTAGTCCCAACACTTTGGGAGGCCAAGGGGAGCGGATCGCAAGGTCAAGAGATCGAGACCAGCCTGGCCTACATGATGAAACCCCGTCTCTACTAACAATACAAAAATTAGCTGGGTGCTGGGCCGGGTTCAGTGGTTCACGCCTGTAATCCCAGCACTTTGGGAGGCTGAGGTGGGTGGATCATGAGGTCAGGAGTTCCAAGAACAGCCTGGCCAAGGTGGTGAAACCCCATCTCTACTAAAAATACAAAACATTAGCTGGGCATGGTGGTGGGCACTTGTAATCCCAGCTACTCGGGAGGCTGAGGCAGAGAATTGCTTAAACCCAGGAGATGGAGGTTGCAGTGAGCTGAGATCACGCTGTTACACTTCAGCCTGGGCGACAGAGCGAGACTCCATCTCAAAAAAAAAAAAAAAAAGGTGGCATCTGCCTGTAGTCCCAGCTACTCAGGAGGCTGAGGCAGGAGAATCGCTTGAACCCAGCCACTGCACTCCAGCCTGGTCTCAAAAATAAATGAATGAATTAATTAATGAATTAATAAAAATAAACAACGTACAATAGAGAGGTTCAATAAGGCCAAAAGTAGTTCCTTTCAAAATTTTAATGTAACATACCAACACTGACATAAGACATATTAGACTTTAATAATCCAATGGCCAACAAGAAAATACTTTTTTTTTTTGGATGGAGTCTTGCTTTGTGAGCCAGGCTGGAGTGTGCAGTGGCGTGATCTCAGCTCACTGCAACCTCCACCTCCCAGGTTCAGCCAGTCCTCCCCTCTCAGCCTCCTGAGTAGCTAGGATTACAGGCATGCACCACCTTCCCTGACTAATTTGTTTTCATATTTTTAGTAGAGATGGGGTTTCACCATGTTAGCCAGGCTGGTCTTGAACCCCTGACCTCAGGTGATCCACCCTCCTTGGCCTCCCAAAGTGCTCAGATTACAGGTGCGAGTCACCATGCCAGGCCTAGAAAATACATTTTTATATTAAAAATATTACTTCTGCAAAATCTCCAGACCTAAAGGCTTCACCAGTAAATTTTGCTAAATATATAAGAAAGAATAATACCAATCTTACTAGTCATGACATTGGTCAATACCAGTGAGCATGACTGAGGAAAAAGGGGCAGGGACACAACAAATGACAGAAATAATACATGGAATTCAGTATAGTCTTCTAAAACATTACATAATGGTAAGACAATATGATATACAACTTTGTATCTTATATTTGAAAATGTATATGAAAAAGACATGTTCCTAGAAAAATAAAGCTCATTAGAACTCACACTTTCTGTTCCTCTTCTCTCTCTGTTTCTCTGTTTTGTTTTCTTTCGTTTTGTCCTCTTTCACTCAGACACATAGGAGGTCCAGGCAGCATGAGCAGCTGGCTGTTCAGAGACACGTGGATTTGCTCCCTGGTTATTCAAAGCTGATTCAAAGCCAATTAAAGCTGCTGCTTCGGCTGGGGTCCCAACCTCTAGTGGGAAAAACATTCTTCTTTTCCTGCTGGTGTCACCCACTGTTCCACAGATCCAAGACAACACCCAATGTTTGGTACAAATTTAGTGAAACAGCTCTTTCTATTCTTTTTTTGTTTTTTTGAGACGGAGTCTCGCTCTGTCGGCGTGATCTCGGCTCACTGCAAGCTCCGCCTCCCAGGTTCATGCCATTCTCCTGCCTCAGCCTCCCAAGTAGCTGGGACTACAGGTGCCCGCCACCTCGCCTGGCTAATTTTTTTGGTATTTTTAGTAGAGACGGGGTTTCACCGTAGTGTCTATCTCCTGACCTCCTGTTCCCGCCGCCTCGGCTTGCCAAAGTGCTGGGATTACAGTCCTAAGCCGCCGCGCCAGGCCTCTTTCCATTCTTAACTCATGCCAAGCATCTCAGCTTGGGGTCAGGAAAATGCCATGGGACTTGAGCTCTTCCCCTAGAGTTAGAGAATTCTCTGCCTTAGTTGCAATAAAGGAAAAGATACACATTTTTCCCACAAGCACCAAAGTAGGCTCAAAATTTGGTTCCTAGAGTAGAGTATTGAAGTTCCTGGCAAAGATCTTGCCAGTGATCAAAGCAGTGGCTCGTATGTTCCCTCGGACTGAAGCTACAGTCTCGTCTTCACTTCCTGTTCCTTCCCTTCGTCCTCCGCGTAGGCACACCTGCTTCTTACAGTTGTGGATCATAGCACCTCCTCTCCAGCCTCAGGACCTTTGTAAGTGCTACGCCTGCTTCTTTGACTGCTGTTCACCGGGGATCTTCAGGGCACAGTCCTTACCTCCTGCAAGTCTTGACTTAAATGTCACTTTCTCAGGGAGGCCCACATTCATCACCATTTCACACCCACCTCCCACGTGACTTTATTTTACCTCTTCTCTCTTCCCCTCTTCTTTTAGAGTACTTAGGATCTTATATGGTACATTTTGGGATTTGGGGTTCTTCTGTATCCACCACTGCCATGATCAATTAGAATGTTGGAAATCAAGGAAACTTGATTTTTTGGCCTGTGATGAAAACTATGGGGTCTAACAGTGTCTGATAAAGTGGCAGACCTTCAATTATTATTTGCTAAGTAAATGCATGAAACTGTGTAGACAACTAGCTCTAGAAGCTCAAATGTGTGATAGCATGTTTTATAATACTGGAAGAGGCCAGGAATGGTGGCTCAGGCCTGTAATCTCAGCACTTTGGGAAGCCAAGCTGGGCGGATCTCTTGAGGTCAGGAGTTCGAGACCAGCCTGGCCAACATGGTAAAACCCTGTCTCTACTAGAAACACAAAAATTAGCCGGGTGTGGTGGCACATGCCTGTAATTCCAGCTACTCTGGAGGCTGAGGCACAGCATTGCTTGAACCCAGGAGGCGGAGGTTGCAGTGAGCTGAGATGGTGCCCCTGCACTCCAGCCTGGGCAACAGAGTGAGACTCTGTCTCCAAGAAAAGAAAAAAGAATAGAAAAAAAAAAAAGAAAGAAGAAGAAGGAAGAAGAAAGGGAGGAGGAGGATTTATCATTCACTTACATTGGAAACAGTGAAAATAAATGATAGCTATAATTTACTCACATCTGATCTGAAACACAAGTTCAGGGTAATTTATGAGCAAGTCATTTTCCGGTGGGCTTTCGATTGAGTGTGAGTTTGGAATGAATGCTGGTACTTCCACCTGCAGCACCAGGAAGCCGTCGTTGTGGGGAGGCCACCAACTTGGCTGGCATGCTGCTTCTGCCTCAGTTAGTGATGACGGTGATTTGGAGAGAAAGGACACTCCGCTAGGCTCCAAATCCAAAGGGTCAAGTGGATAAATGAAATGAATATCTAAATAAATATCTATTAGGTCAAAAGTTTGTTTTCATCTAAATGAAATCTGAACACTCCTTAGGGCTGTGAAGCATAGCCAGAGGTCATGGCCAGCTCTGGAGTGGGGTCTGGACTTGCTCTCCCCTGCTGGAAGTGCTTTTCCTCCCAGAGCTCAGCGCGCCATGTGCGTGTGACCCCTGCCTTTTCACAGGCCATTGCCACGGGGCATCCACCTGGTCCACCAGCCCCAAGATGAGTCAGTCTCCCACTCAGGAATTGGGTGGGGAAGGGAAAGAAAGAGGGACGAGAGAAAGAGACAGTCACACACAGGCAGTGGAGCTTCCCTGCACCCACCAGGGAGCTCGAGCGGCTCATCTGCAGGGCAGGGAACCCTTTTTACTGCCACCGGGAAGACGCTGAACAGAGAGGTGAGGGGCCGGCATTTCTTGGCTCCCTGTGGCTTTTCCCACTCACAGTTCAGTCTCTCCTGTCCTTGGGGAAAAGGAGGGAAACAGTGTTAGTCAGAGTTCTACAGAGAAATAGACCCAATAAGATGTGTGCGTGTGTGTGTGTATATATGTTCACAGAATGTATATATGTGTATATGTATATGGACAACTGCATGTCTATTTATAGAGAGAGAGGAGAGCAGGAGACAGAGATTAAGAGAGATTCATATAAAGAATTATGTTCATAATTTATATAATAATTTGTTCATTTAATCGTAAAGTCTGGCAAGTCCAAAATCTGCAGGGCGGGCCAGAAGCCTGGACACCCCAGAAACAGCTGCACCTAGACTCTGAAGACAGTCTGGAGGCAGCATTCCCCCTTTCCCAGGAAATTCCAATCTGTTTTCTCGGGAAGGCCTTTACTGACTAGATGACGCCCCCACACACGGAAAGCAATCTGCCCTACTGAAAGTCTACTGCCTTAGAGGTTTAGCTCATCTAAAAAATACCTTCATAGCAATTTCCAGACTGGTGTTTGACCAAATAGTTGAGTAGGTTGGCCTCGCCAATTTGACATGTAACATTAACTATCACGGAAACAAAATAATCAATATAGGTAATAAATGTGCCAGAATGCTGTGATGTTTCAGGATGACCTTGTTTACATTTACATTTATTGTCAAAGCTTACCTTCACTTTTTATATGGGCAATTAAATCTGCTACTGAGGGCATCAAGTACTGATTTAATTTACAATCTTGACAGATAAGATAGGTTCCTATTTTCTCCTCTCCATAAAAGTAATAGGTTTGGAGAAACCAGACTGGAAATAACTGTCCAGATTTTAAAGTATAACCTCTTGTTTGGAATAATAAGTATGTAAATAAGCATCATAAAATATGAAACCAAACATTTTATGATTCTTTTATATACATTATCCCCTTGCATTTTTAAAAAATAACGAACACCTTATTAACCATATTTTCACATGGTGAAACCAACACCCCCAGCTCAGACTATGCCGTGGTAGGATCCAGGGTCACTGATATCCGATCCCATGGTATTTTCACAATATCCCACTCTTTCTTTGCATGTGGCTCCTTTTTAGCTGCATTGCGAGTAAACAGGATGTGGCTCTTTTCAAACCAATTCCATGCATATGTGAAGAAAATTGATCCTGAAATGCCTCTTGCCAAACATGCTTATGGAGAAGTGTCTGCGTCCAGAAGCTGCAGGGAGGCTGGTTTAGGATTGGCCATCCCTCAGTCTGGGCTGGAGTCTCCCTCCGGTCTCTGGGGTTCTCTTTTCTATTCACAAAAGGGTGCTAAGCACTACAGAGATGGTTTAATCTCTATACCCTGTGGTCCACAAATACAAGATGCCAGCGTGGCCAATGGGGCTTCCATAAGAGTGGCAATCAGGGATCTCAAGCTTCCCATGACATTTTGGGCCCTGGAATCAGATCACAGTTCTACAGTTGTCCTGGCACTAAAACTCATGAGAAGGTTGTGACTAGATAGAAGGAGGGAAGACTGGAGGCTGACAGGAAGCAATGCCAGTGAACAAATGCCTTTGCAGGATGCATGAGTTTGGGCCACAGATGATCAGGGGAGGTGCTGGTGCAGACGGGCTCGGTGGCAAAGCAGTAACTGCGGATGGCCATTTTATGGCTGCAGATCCCAGCACATTTATAAAAGACGGGTGGTTCATGAGAATGTGCATTTCATCGTGGAAATACTGTAGTTGGAGGAGATTTCTCAAAGCTGACAAATAAGTATAAGTGATTTAACTTGCAAAAGATGATCATATGTGAGAAAGGATGTGTCAAATTAGGAAATAACTTGTTAAGTAAAAAAGCCTCGTGTATTGATTTAAAGCAAAAGAGATTTTGGTGCTCATCACTATAAAAGGATAACAATAAGCTGAAGGGCTACTTTTTCCTGTAAACATAATTTTGTATCACCAGTTTTTTTTCAACAAGGACTTGAAATTCAGGAAAAAAGTTAAGTCAGAGAAATCATGGGAAAAGGACAAAAAAAAAAAAAAAAGGATAGGAAAAGAAAGCAAGAAAAAGGCAAATTAGTACAGAAAAAAATAAAACATCCACTCAGGTTCTGGACACTTTGTTAGAACTGAGAACACAGATCCAGAGCTTCCTAGCAGTTAGTGTAAGTGGGAAATACCACTGTTCACAAAATTCAAAGGGTTTTTAAGACCCAAAGGAGCATAGATATCTAACTCTGAGATCTCACAGTTCTCTGATGATTCTGAGGAGGACATGGTATGAACAAATTATGCCTTAGTGTTTGCCGAGGTTGTATCAATGTCCAAACATTTCATCCAGCAAAGCAATCACAACTGAACACAGGTAAATGATGGCTGCAGACTCAGCTTCTCAGTAGCCCAGAGAGTGAGAGCTCACCAGGGCAGAAGGTCCCTGAACCAGAGGCCGGCAGTGCACATGTGCTTTGGTCAGGGGAGAAGGACAACCATGCCCCACGGGGCTGAGGACCAGTGGCTGGAACAAAGCCATGATCCTAATTTTTTTGATACCTTGTTTCTTACTTTGCCTTTGGGCCTCCATGGAACTCCTGTGCAGCTGGCTAGGCCGTGGCCTATGCACAATGGCTGAGTCTACACACAATCAGAAAAGCAGCCTGAAACTCCGTGGACTGTGTCTGCTTTATTCTCAGCAGGATTAATGACCCTCATTGAATTCCCATTGCCTCAGAGCTTGGCAAAATTGAAATTGATTATGGGGAAGCTAGAAATACTTCATTTCAAATCCCAACATAACCTGAATAAGGGAATTGCATGCTTTTCTCATCAAAAGTTCAAATAACTTAGTAATGGTTCAAAATGGTCTCTGACTGTCTTCTCAATTTAGCACACTAAATGGTCTTAGAGATCATTGCTTGTCTTTGGACTAAGGCAGGCACAGTAATACATGTTCATTCTTTTGGCCTGAGCTGTTACAATCCCCTCCTAATAACTTATCTTCATCCTCTTTTCACTCATTCTATACTGGGCACCATGTCCAATCATTTTTTTTCTGATATTTGGATCAGTTCTATTCAACTGATAACCCTGTGATGTCTTTTTTTCCTTCAATAGATCTTTAAATTCCAATCCTCACCCTACCCTACTCTTTCCCAATACAGCACCGTTATTCACACTGCTCCCAAAATCTATTACATCCTCTGGCTTCTCACAATACCTTTTTGTCCTAAGACTCCATGATAATAGAGAAAAGAATTTTGGTCTTCGCAGAATGTATTGACTTAATGATATTCCAAATTTCTCTTGGGTGTTAAATATACTCCTCACCAAGTATGACTGAAAGAAAACTCTATTCACCATGAATTTAAGGATCTCAAAATTATATCTTCTCCACTCTCATAATTCCATAGCCCCTGCTGTTACTATAATGACCTATATTGCAAAAGAGTGAATTCAATTAGAGTCTCAGAGGATAACTGCTGGTATTTTTTTCATCTTTTGCCATCCCATACTTTATAAAGTGCAGTTAGACCCCCTATTTGCCTCCCAGCATACCAAAGTTATGTAGATTTTTAAAATAAAATCGACTGAAAGCATACGTTTTTAAGTACCCCTTTTGTGTCCCCTAAATTACAGAGGATAAAACCAGCCATAGAGGCAAATTCCTTTAGACCTTCTCCTAGAAACAAACACTGTCCATTACAGAAAACCTTCGATTGCAAGGACAATTCTGTAAACCATGATATTTGATCCTGGAAGCTTCCTACTTTGAACACAAAGAAGAGGGTATACTATTTACATACCTACAGCTTTAAGCTGTGTGCCTGGTGTTTTTCACTCCAGTATGGCTGAGCATCTCCCTCTACACTGCCATCCACCCCATTCCTCACGGTTCAAGGCACATTACAAATGTCAACTCTGTCTGAGCTGCCTTCCAAAGTAAGCAGAGA